GATCTATTGTGTTACCTGGTCGTGATTGGATGTGCATAGATGCAGATTATTATTTTAATGTTATTTGTTTAATGAATGATTGCCGATCTATTCTTGATCATAAAAGAATAAAAGATACTTTTGTATTCCATCAGGTAAAAAGAAAAAAAAAACCCTAAAAAAATCTAAACCCTAAACCCTAAACCCTCACAAAACCCTAAACCCTAAACCCTAAACCCTAAACCCTAAAACTTTGAATGATTTCTGATGTATTCTTAATAAAGGAAAAATTAAGTATAATTTAATTTTTTTTTCATTTTTTCAAGAAAAAAAAGTCTAAACCCTAAACCCTAAACCCTAAACCCTAAAAATGGTATAAACCCTAAAAATGGTATAAACCCTAAAAATGGTATAAACCTTATTAGTGTATATATATTATATATTATATATTATATATTATATATTATATATTATATATATATATAAATAATATATATTGTTATTATATGTATAATTAGGTACATTATGAAGGATTTCCTTATTTATTATTATTTAAGAGACAAGGAAGAGAATTATTACATATGGAGGAATGTCTTGTTAATTGTGGCCCTTTATTTAGATTAGGACATTTACAACCTCTTTGTGAGGCTGCATTGTATGAAGAAGCTGATCATAAACCACAAAAAGGGACAAAAGTATGACGATAACAACACGATCCCAACACGATCCCACACGATCCCACACGATCCCAATACGATCCCAACACGATCCCACACGATCCCACACGATCCCACACGATCCCACACGATCCCACACGATCCCACACGATCCCATGACGATCCCACACGATCCCATGACGATCCCATGACGATCTCATGACGATCCCTATAGATACGATCCCAGAGGAATAAACGCACAAATACCCCACAACGATTTAAGCGTCACGATCCCATCAAATATATAGTTGTTACGTTTGCTGCTGCTGCTGCTGCTGCTGCTGTTGCTGCTGTTGCTGCTGCTGCTGGTATATATGCAGGAGTATGAGGAGATGCCCGTATTAAAGTTATGTCCTTTTGATTGGGAAGATCGTCATGATTTAATGGACTCCTTTATGCGCACTAAAAGAGCTAAAGAGGTAATCTGCTGCTGCTGCTGCTGCTGTTGTTGCTGTTGCTGCTGCTGCTGCTGCTGCTGTACTTGCAGCTCCTGCTGCTGTTGCATGTATTCCTCTTTATATCCTACTGATCTAAACCCTAGACGTTCCTTATCATACAGACTCCCATGCCGCATGAGGGTTTAGGGTTTAGGGTTTACGTCCTAGGGTTTAGGGTTTAGGGTTTACGTCCTAGGGTTTAGGGTTTAGGGTTTAGGGTTTACGGTTTCAGGCTCAGAGAGAAGAGACAGTGTGGGAGTCTGATGATGAAGTAGATTATTAATTGTCTCCTTTTTTTCTTCTTTTTTCTTCTTTTTTTTTTATTTATTTGTCTCCTTTTATTTATTTATTTATTTATATTTATTATTTATTTATTATTTATATTATTTATATATATATATAT